CATCTAAATTTACAGGGGTTGAACTTCTACTGGTAGGTTCACTTGTTGACTGAGAATATGCTGATGACATAGCTTTATTTGGTGAATACGCTGACAAAATGCAGTCTTCTGACCACTCTAAGCAACAATGCAAGCATGTTCGGGATGCGATTCTCTCCCTCGAAATGCAAAATGTTGCTTCAGGATTGGGTTGCATTGACACCCAAACTAATGATAGGGAGTGAAGTAACTGAGCGTGTCGATCGCTTCACTTATCTTGGAAGTCTCATCAGCCCTTGTGGTATGGTGTGTGACGAAATCTCAGCACGGATACAGAAGGCTCGACCAGCTTTTGCCAACTTGCGTCATTTATGGCGTAGGCGAGATATCCGTCTATCAACCAAAGGACGTGTTTACTGCGCAGCAGTTCATTCCGTTTTACCTAATGGCAGTGAAACATGGCCGGTAAGAGTAGAGCCCCCGAATGCCCTGGTACGGCCGAGAGTGGGGAGAGTCCGCTCTCTTTCTCGAAATACGCTCACACGGCCGCGCGTATACAACCTCTGCCAGGGAAGTCCTACTCATTGCTTTCTCGTGGAGAGGGTGTTGTTTACGAAAATGAGAGGACGAAAAGCGAATGTCCGGTCCTTTAATCGGATCACAAATCAATGGTGCACATGGGCTCCAGTATCCTGCGGGAACAAATGGCGTATGAACCAATCGTTGGTCACCGGCTACCATGGGATTGCATCTCCTTACGATGCTCCACTGCCTTGTGGGTCAAACCTTTAGGTCAAAGGCTCGGGGTGTGGCCCCCTAAGATAACCACCTGCTTCGGTCTGGGCACCCGGGCAGTATCACAGCCCACACACAAAGGATGAACTCTTTATGTCTATGGAAATTGCTTTTCTCGCTTCGAAAAACAATCAATTGATTCAAATTATTATCATTACAATTATTGTCATTATTAATACTATTATTATTGCTATTATTATTATTATTATTATTATTATTATTATTATTATTATTTTCCACATTATTCACCCTCTTTTATACTTATACAGCGGCTCGTCTTTGGTGGAAATTCGACTGTATCTAAACGTTCTCGAGTCACTGTCCGGTTGAAAATTGTATGTTACCACCGAATACGAGGACTGGAGCAGTTTTTCTGAAACCACGTGCACCATTCAAACTGGCTGCCTTCAACGTTCGCACATTTATGCAGGTCGGACAACAGATAGGGCTGGCTATGTCTTTGGAAAGTCTTAATATTGATGTTTGTTGTCTATCCGAGACCCGTATTCAAGACTCTGGCGACGTACTACAAATTCGATCTCCATCTGTCGCTTCGAAAAGCTTGTTTTACGTGCGCTTATCCGGGGACCCTGTGGCATCTTCGTCTAGCCTTGCTGGCGTTGGTGTCGCACTAAGCGCTAGAGCTGAGCAGCACTAGTCGATTGGATCCCCATTAACAGTCGGTTATGTGCTGTTAGATTAGAAAGTTCCATCAAAGTGAGAAGAAATCGGCGTCAGAAACGATGTCTTTTCGTCATCTCCGTCTATGCCCCGACAGATTGCAGCTCGGATGCAATCAAGGATGAGTTTTACCACCAGTTATCTGTTCTTCTCCAGAAAGTGCGTTCGACAGATATTGTGGTACTAGCCGGAGACTTGAATGCTCAGGTTGGGCGTCTAGGCACAGAAGAGAGTTGTTTAGGTGGCCGATGGGGACTCGTTGGTCGCAGGTCAGATAACGGGGACTCAGATTGATCACATCGCAATCAGCTACCGCTGGCGTGGTTGTGTACAAGACTGTCGCTCCTTTTGGAGTACCTATCTAGACTCTGACCATGCCTTGGTCTGCACCAATCTTGCCTTACTTTTCAGTGGCCAACGAAGTGACCACCACCAAAAGATTGATGTTAGCAAGCTGGTTGCAACTTCTGTTGCGAATAAGTATCGAACCGAGCTAGCCTCTAGGCTAGCTACCACTCCACCGAAAAGTATAGATGAGCATTAGTTGCAATTGCATGACGCCATGAAAATGGCGAGTAAAGCCATTTGCAGGTTCGCGAAACGTCCCGCTTATAAGCACTGGGTTTCTTCTGGTTCCTTACAACTAATTGAAGCCCGTCGGTCTACTCCGGGTGACCGTGAGTTTGACCATAAACGAAGGATGTTACGTAATGAAATTGTACAAAGCTTGCGTAGGATCGAGAAGCCTGGTGGTCAGAGCGTGCTAATGAGCTGGAAGCAGCAGCTGCATCCGATAACTCCTGGAAGCTCTTTCAACTCATCCGAGTCACTGGCAGCAAGAAGTCTGGTGTGAGTGAAACAATCTGCGAGGATGATGGGATGCCAATCACTAACATCCATCGACGTCTTGGACGATGGGCAGAATTTTTCGAAGGGCAGTTCAACTGGCCTGCTGCTCCGGCAACATCGGTCAGACTGTCCTGCCCTCCATGGCCGGTGACGACTGATCCACCAAACGAGGAGGAAGTCCGCAAGGAACTCCAACTCTTGAAGCGTTGCAAATCACCTGGCCCAGATGACTTACCTCCGGCTCTTTTTAAAGATGGTGGTGACTTTCTGGTTAAGGATCCTACTACGTTATTTACAAAGGTTTGGGAACTAGAGAGTGTTTCAACTTCATGAAATGAATCAATAGTCATCCTTATGTTTAAGAAGGGTTCACGTCGTTTCTGTAACAACTATCGGGGGATAAGTCTACTTCCGATTGCGTCCAAGCTATTGGCTTCCGTCATACTTCGTAGGTTGTTCAAAACCCGAGAAAGATTGACTCGTGAGGAGCAGGCTGGTTTTCGTTCTGGTCGAGGATGTATTGATCATATCTTCACCCTCCGCCAAATGTTAGAACACCGTCATACTCATTACAGGCTAACAGTCGTGCTGTTTCTTGACATTAGGGCTGCCTTTGATTCGTTGGATAGGACTGTTCTCTTGGATTGTCTATTTAAGAAGGGTGTGCCTGAGAAGTTTATTAACATCCTAAAGGCCCTATATACAAACACCTCAGGCAGAGTGAGGGCATACAACCACCTCTCTCCATTGTTCCATTCGAGTAGTGGGGTTAGGCAGGGTTGCCCAATCTCACCATTCCTCTTCAACTTTGCCATCGATGACATTCTGGAAACAGCTCTGATGGATGTAAGTAATGGTGGTGTGGATCTGTTGCCTGGAGAAACTTCTCGAACTTGAGTATGCGGATGACACTGTTTTACTGTGCGATAATACCCAAGCTATGCAATCCGCATTTAATCAGTTGGCAATTAGTGACCCTGAGATCCTGAACTCGCCTTGGGTAGTGAGCAGATAGAAGTAGTCAAGAAGTTCGTGTATCTAGGCAGCTGCATAAGTGTGCTGGTGATGGCGTGAGTGATGAGATCGATTAACGTATAGTGCAAGCCAGAGCGGCTAATGCCAACCTGAGCCATCTCTGGCGCCTTCGTGATATCTGCCTGGCTGTAAATGGTCGTGTCTACAACGCGTCAATGAGAGTAGTTTTCCTCGATGCTTGGGAAACCTGGCCTCTCCAAGGTGAGGATGCCAGACAACTTTGTGTTTGATCATCGTTGTCTCAGAAGGATTGTCGACATCCAGTGGCAACACCATGTCAGTAATGCAGAGGTTCGGCATCGTGCGTTAGGGCGCAGGGACGATAATTCAATTGCTGTCACCATCCTGAAACACCAACTTCCGTGGCTTGGACATGTTCTACGAATGTGGTCTCAGAGAATTTCACGTCGTGTATTATTTACCAACGCTGGGACTGGTTGGAAAAAGCTGAGAGGTGGTCAATGGATGGCATGGTGTCGTAGTATGAAAGAAAACTATTTAGGACTGGCTTCTGTTGGTCCTTCACGACTCTCTGGTTTGAGTCTTAGAGATGGTGCAACACAGTGGCTAGCGACGATATCAGAAATGGCTCAGAATAGAAGCCAGTGGCGATCTTGCTGTAAACGTCTCTTACATTCTTCAGAAAAAGTGGCCGTAGCTTCCTTAACTGAAAGAATTATTTATGGTTGTACCTTTCTGTTTCCCACATTATTATTATCATCATGTCACTACCATACACTAATTTGTGGTCGTTATTGTCCTTTTTCTTTCCACGTGCACCTTAAATTGTTTATCTCCTCCCATTTTCATTATTTTCGGTGGCGCATATGTATCTGGTGCCCCCTTGTACCAATATTTGTCAGTCAGTAACAACGTAGAACTTCGTACGTATGTACATCAGTTCGAGTTGCCATACCACATTACCACAGAGATGCAGTTGTCGATTCAAATCCGATAGTGGTAGAGGTAGTGAAATTAAAAGCAGTAATAGGAAACATTAGAGTTTGAAGATGTTATTCAAGGAGTATAATACAGTGAAGTAATTCGGAAGAGAGGAAAAAAGGATATGAAGAATCCAGAAGATTAGAATTTGGGAGGACACAAAGAGGGGATGAACCTGCGCCATTGTAAACGATTTTGAGCCATGTCATTCAGGGTCTCTAACCATCGGTGACTATTGTCTCGCGGGTCCCAATCAGGTAGTCTATACCTACCAACATGGCTCAGTCCACTTGTCAGTGACTTCATGGACTTGTGTCATGTCTTGGTATGGCCGCCCCTCTCTTTCTTCCAACCTACTCCTGCACCATGACAATCGCACGCCGGGGCAGTCGGTCGTTGGGCATACGTATCACGTGTCCCAACCACAAGGTAATACTTATATGTTTAAATAAATAAATGTAAGTCAATGCACCAAACACAATTCCATTTTTTTACTTTCACAAATGAACACGACCGAATTTTTGATGTAAGTAAGAAAAATAAGTAACGTAAATTATTATTTTGCAGAATGTTCAGAAACAGTAATAATAGTATTTGATTTGCAACAAAACGTACGTTTACCTCTTGAAAATGATAGCAAATACAATAAAACTATATAATACGGCGAAAAATTGAAAAGGTAACAAACACAAAACATGAGTACTATAATATAGACTTACTCAGAATTTCGACCATTAGCTGATGAAACGATAGTATTCTCTGATTTTTTATTATGATTATTATTGTTACTTCTAGAATTATTAGATGTTATTTCATTAGACTCATGGTCAAATGGATGACTTATCATTGTTATATTAGTTAAAGTGACAGGAGAATCGGGATCAGTTAGTGTAGCACGTTTTTTACCAGTAATATATGCAAGGTCTGGTGAATACTCCTATGTAAAAAGGAAAAAATCAAAACCAAATTATATTTTTTAAAAATGAAACTGTATGACAGACTGAAATAGTTATACTTCAAGAAATGAATCCTTGAATAAAATTGGACGTTATATCCACTGAAATCGCCAATCATAAAAATTTCAGTGACATGTTGATTAGTTGTTCAATGATCAGTTGAGTGATTATTTAGACTCTTTTGCTATTCATTTTGCTAACTACATATCATTTTACCGATATGATGTGGTGACTTGGACCAATGTACCATTGTTTCAAGTCTTATGTTGCTTATGATTGATTGACTGTGGGAATGGTAGGTATTTTTTACGAAAAATCCTCCATCAATAACTCTACCATATAGTGCACATCCATATAAACATAGTGTTGAGGGAATCGTGTACATAACGTTTCATAACCAAAGATGGTTCACAGTCCACTAGATAATGGTAAAAAAATTAAATAAAGTTTTAATTTTAAGAGGCTCCAAATAACCTACAAGGATCTTATACTGAAATCGTTATTTTTAGCAGACTTGATTTTATTTTCTAATGTTTACTATTTTGTTATTGTATTAAGATATTTCTTTAACCTCGTGATTTTCGTTAACTTAAGAGATCTGCAGCATTGGTTTGATATTATTAAGTAACCATTATCCAGCTATCTCACGTATTACTGCATACTGATTAACTTGTAATCACAACTATAATCATACTACTTTTGTTTCTTTATTACACTAACTGTGGAAGAAGCTACACAATCATTGACGCAATTCAATTACCTTTTTATTTAGCAATTAACATTACTAGCAGGATTAATAAAGATAAACGTGAACATCAAGCAGTAATAACTGATTAAACGACTAAAAACTACAAGTCCTGAAACAATTAAGACAACATTTATATAAAAATGTATGAAATGATTATGAGAATGAAATCACGCGATAACCACTTACACATATCAATGGACATTTTGAGCATAGACAAATAAGAGATCTTAATGTTTTTAAAGAGAATCTATATAATTTTCAACGGTTAAGCTTAAATTGACTGATTGATTTCTGTCAGCTTACACATAAAATACCTGTGATACACAGTATACATTAAACGTTATTTGACAGTAGATTAACCACATAAGTTGTGGTTTCATTTATTCCATTTGCATCCAACTATTTTATTAGGACTAGTGTATAGATCTGTATATTAACTGTACGCAGAATTATATATGCATAAAAGACTATGATTAACGTAATATAAATAATTTGTGAAAGAAAAAAAACTGAAGAGTACTGTTTTTACCTAACTCTTCACAAGATAACCATTTACAAAAGATATCTTATGATTATTCACAATAAAATCACGGTTTCCTTGATGTGCACAATAAATAATAAAGTACACAGTTAGTACGTGATAGTAATAGTTTTTTTTTTTTTTAAATGAGACAACATCACCCAAAATCAAAACAAACTATCCATATTTAGTTATTTTCTTTTATATGATCTAATAATTCTGCTCATCTTCTTTTACTTATTTCACATTCAACAACTTAACATCGCTATTGATAATGAGGGATTAGAAGGTGGAAAAAAAGAGAAAATTGGCCAATGAAACACTACAAGTTAGTGGTAGACTGACAGATACACTACTCAAATTTAGACATGTATTATCAGTAGAATATTTAAGGTCATTATTAATTTTAAGGAAATGTTAATATTACTAACATTAGTAGGATAGACATATTACCAAAAGACAGAAGAAATCAGATATTTTGACGTAAATCAGATGTTCACGTGCTACAATCTGCGTGAATTTGACGCAAAACGATTTTCCCAAAAAAATCGATTATTGATGGGAAAAGAGTAGTTTCTTTCCACTACTAATTTGGGATAGAAATCTAGAAAGTAAAAGGAGATCCTGACACAAAATCGATAGTATATAACGTATAAAAGGGGAATCCATTAAAAAATAGAGACAAGAATGACAAAACAATCATCTGTATCGCACAAATCATAACAAAAGGACGAGAACAAATATTTGCGTACTAATTTGAACATTAAAGATAATAAATATTCATTATTGTAGCAGTCTGTGGATGCATAGAAGCACAACATGTATGCGGTAGAACATGAGTATACACATCAACGGTTAAGCGTATTGCTCATTTGAGAAAACAATATATCGCTTTACATCTGAAATAAAATATTCGACATTAATTTGTGTATCTTCTTGAAAAGATAAAGTGAAATATGCACTTGGATAAAATATTGTTACTCTCATTATCCACCATGATTATAAGGGATAAAATTATTTTAAGAAGACAAATATCATTCAATAAATATTGTTTGCAGAATTTGTTAATTATGATCCCATCCAATATAATCTCACTGATTACTGGTTTGAACTGTGTTATTAGGCGGAGATTATCTACCGCGTTGATCACTGAGTGATAATCGTAACCGATTATTAGATACTTCAAGTGATATATATTTAAATCAGACACAGAGATGTATATAGATCTATTTATTATCTCCTAGATCTTGAGTTTCAATATTATTTTATACTTTGATTCCTCGAAATTCACTTTTTCTTTTCTAATCATATTCCTTATGCCTAGTCGTTCTCAATATCATTAATACTACTATTATTCTAACTAGTTCCCAACTAGTTAAATTCACCTCCAATTACTAGTATGATGTGACAACTTGCATCAAGGAATACTCGTACCAGATCCTAACGGGTAATTATGACCGACTGGTTTTAATCTTTGAAAAACTCATTTAGTAGCAAAAGACTGCGACAAAGAGAACAGGAAGAAAATCAGAGAGGAATCAAAGTAACAACAGAATAAAAGTGATAATGCAGTATGTAAAGGACCACGGAAAAAAATGTGTAAATGATGTGTTTAATGTGTGATTTTCATATTTTTCTAAAGCACTGTGCGATTTGGTTTTCCCCACCTGAGTTCTTGTTCACTAAAGTTCATTTATTAATGAAGTTTAGTTACTAAACTCTCGATAGAAAAGTTTTTGTAACACACTTTGAGTTACACTTATTATGGGAATAGGCTAGTAAAACTCTGAAGTTATTCATACCAATAACTCAGTGTCGTATTCTGAGGTTCAGTCAATTAAGTTATGCTTCACATGACAAAATAACGAGGAGTACTAAACAGTATATTACATTTTCTGGCATTTTTCGACAAGGAACAGTAAATAAAAAAAGCCTGAAAGCTATAGATTCGTGCATAAAGATAGCTGGATTAAGTTTAGGACACAAGTCTATATCAATTGATATCCAGTCGAGATTATAAAATGTTATCAGTTTACGAACTCCAGTGTAGTGAATATATGGAACAGATATTTCATCATAAAGATCTCTTCAAAAAGGTACCTTTAATCACATTAAATTAATTAAACAATCAACATAGAATATATTAAGAATAAGTTCACATAAATCTAAAAAGTAAGATTCCATTTTGAATAGTTCTTACTTCAAATTGTGGGGAAACGAAAGGCATATCAACTCCATGATTTGACGACCACAAATTTAAGTCTGCTTCAACATCACATTGTGAGATACTCTCTGCTAACTCACTGTAGATAGAATCGTAACTAAAAATATTTTCAACAAGAAAAAAAATGTCATTCTGTTACAAAAGATTTGGTATGGAACGTAAGAAAATGCAGTTAAGTGAAATACACAAACCTAAAATGATAGAAATCATAAGGACACCTATACATTTATACATAACGGGTTTCGTTTAAACACTTATACATTCATTACTATGTCAAAAGAATTTGAGTTTGTCATTTTATTATGGAATATACTGTGGTGAGAATAACATAAAATGACCGCTAGTAAAAGTTTACATAGTTTTCCGAGAAAGAGAGAGCCAGAATGATTTAGTAATATTTTTGATATGGGGAGAACTGAACAAATAATTTACAAAATCAAAATTTTCGCTTTTCATTCTTTACTTTAAACAACTTCTAGATCATGCTTCGATTGTCCGGAAACAATTCATATTGTAAAATATGAAACTTCAATAGTTATTCTTATTCCAGCTTACGATATGTAGATTAGATTGCTATCATACTTGCGCATCGCCGGCTGTAGTCGGTTATATTACTATTATTATGAAGTGTAAAACCTTTCTATGTACTCACTAAACTTTGAAATATCTTTACGAGAAACGTTAGATTGAAATTATTTATAAAGTACATCTTTTCACATTTTTCACCAATTCTGTACGAACCTGATTAAGCTTGTAAAAATTGATCCACTCTGTAATTATTATTATTATTATTACTACTACTATTATTATTATTATTATTATTATTATTATTACTGTTTCATGTATTTTCTTTAACAAGTTTTCTATGTTGCTTGAAATGACTGTCATGGCTTAGCCTACATGCGAACCTCACTGTATTGAAAATAATGATATTATTCATGTGAAACTTTATATATGCACTAAGTTATGGTTGAATAGTAAGTAACTATACACCTAACTAATTCAAAAACTTCACACACATAGAATATTCGTGCCAATTATTGAAACATACATGAAACTATTTTCTAAATATTCTACTGTTCGAAGTAAATTCAATTTAAAATAACAGGAAATTCGCAACATATCCTCTATAAATAGACAAAGTAAGGGACCATACGGAATGTATAACACACAATTATTGTCCTGAAGGAAAAGGTTAGAATTCAGAACGAGACAACTCTAAGTGCAAAGGAAAGATCGTCAAATATTTAAATTAACTTCGTTGACAGCAACTTAAGCAACGAGTAAAGAATGCATGTAAATCGCCCTTTTAAAAACTATTGAAAACGTTCATCTGTGCAGGAAAAAGATGGTAGGAAAGGATTATAAAGTTGTCACTGAGATAAGTAAACAAAATTATATAATAATTAATCCGTTGTAACTCATCTGCCAATCATTTGACTTTGAACAAACTGTTTATGTAAGAACCATACAGAACACCAAACCCGCCTGGAGCTCCCTAGGTTTCCATAAAGTCCTAAGCCCGCATGAAGGAGGCTCAGGCGAAGGATTATCAAATTCATCTTGTAAGAGAACCTTGATAAAAAAACGCTGACCAGAAAAAATTATAAACATTGTGTAAACTCTGCCCAGGTATTTAAAGTCTTCATATAGAAGAGTTATGAAAGCTAAAAGTGAGAGCCGCGATTCTTCGGAAGCTACGAATTTAATGTCCCATATAACTAGCACAGCAACAATTAATATAGGTACACAGAATATCCGGACAATGCAGGAAACTGAGAGGGTCATTCGAATAGCCAAACAATTAAGAAGATATACTTTCTTTATACTTGGAATAAATGAAACTCATTGGACAGTCTGGAAAAGAAGAATAACTTCAATGGGGTAATCGAGAATGCAATCCACCAAACACAGACATTTTGCTGATCCCGTTCAAAAAGGCACTAAAAGCACTTGAAGGATAGGAAACCCATGGATTCAGGATCAAAGCATCCTCCATAACAAGCAAGGAAAGGATTACAATGAAAGTCATCTAGTTCTAGGCACCTAATAATCATAAAAGAGAAGACGATAAAGATCAACTTTATGAGCAGCTGGAGTCCATCGTAGAGAAATGTTCAGGAAAACACCAGATTATCTTTGTGGGGAACCTGAACTCGGAACTCCAGACGGACAACGACGGTCATAAACGTACTATAATGAGATAGTGACTGAGAAAAAGGAATAAGAATGGCAAAAACAGGTAGGTCTATGTGCTTTGAACAAAATGGCTACAGGTGACACCCTTTTTCCCCACAAGCGCACATGCACAACTACATGGGTTTCATTAAATCATATTACGGAAAACCATATCGACCGCATCTGTATTAATAAAAAAACGAACTGAAGAAGCAATGATTTAGACGTCCCAAGAGGTGCTGGGTCACAAGAAGCGGCAAAACAACGAGTTAATCCCTGAAAACAGTTTAGGCAAGATTCAATAATTGGGAAACAAGAAAACAACAGAAGCCGAAAAATGCAGAAAAACCTGAATGCACAAAAACAAACAAATGAGAGAAAAAGAGCGTCACAGCTGACAAGCAGAAATATGTAGAAAGACTGGAAACTAGTAAAACAAGCTGCAGAAGAAAGAAATATGGAAGAATCATATGATACAACGAAGCTTGATAAGTGAATCGATTAGGCCAGGGAAGCCATTCAATAAAAAAGAAAAACAATTTCTGAGGTTCAAGAGGAGCGGAAGAGGTGACTAAAACACTTCAGTGAGCTTTTGAATAGACCAGCCCAACTGAACTCACCGGACATCGAAGCAATGCACACAAACTTTCCAATCGATGATGGACCACCACCAACAGGGGAAATCACCCAGGTAATCGTATGTTTTAAGAGTGTCGGAGCAGCAGGACCAACTGAAGCACTGAAGTCAAACACAGATGTAAAAATAATGACATTCCATGTTCTACTCAGAAGGATCTGAGAGGAAGAACAAACACCAACAGACTGGAAATAAAGATACCTCATTAGATACAGAAGATCTGAGTGTGAGAACTACAGAGTAACCACACCATTCTGAATGCTAGGGACAGTTTAACCAGCACTGTGGACACCCAACTTCAAGATCAGCAATCTGATTGTTTTAAGAATCGATAACGGATAGACTAAATCGCGATAATGCATCAACATACAGCGAATTCCTTGGCTAGAAGAAAGAATTCGACAGAGTGAATGGGAAAAACTTACGGAATCTTCTTAGACACTTTGGAGTCCCTAAAGACGCCGTTACCATCACACAGAACTCCGACTTGGGACTGAATCGTGAAGTCTAACATGAAGGGGAACAATCAACTCAATGCTCAATTTATTCAAAATTATCAAATCAAACCTTGGTAATGACACCTATGAAGGGGAGCGTTAACAGATGCATTTCGACTGAGGAGTAGAGTCAGACAAACTACTTACTATCTCCTTTTCTCTTTCTTCTGGTTGTTGATTGGATTTTGAGGACCTGCAGGAAGAGCACGGAATACAGTGGACACGGATGATTTTGAGATGACTTAGCCCCTCTATACATACAAAACAAATGCAGATGAAAACAGTCAATATAGCAGTGGCTCCCGCAGAAATAGGCGTCAACATTCGCAAAGGAAAAGGCGAGATCCTGGAGTATAACACATTGGGCACCAACCAAATTACATTTAGTGGCAAAGCTCTGAAAACCTTCACGTACTTGGGCAGCATCATTGATAAACAAAGAGAGTCTGAACTTAATATGAAAGCACAAAATGCCAAGGCAAGAACAACATTCCTACACCTGAAGAATATCCGAAACTCAAAAGAATTGTAATCTAAGACAGAAGTTAGGATTGTCAACATAAACGTCCAAGCAGGTCTACTGTTCCGTGCTGAAACTTAGGAAACTAATACCACCACCACTGAAAAAGTATAAGTATTTACAAACAGTTGTCTACCCAAGATACGGAAGATCCACTGGCCAAAGATCATCAGCAATAACCTATTCTGGCAGAGAAAAGATAAGTTACCAAGTGAGGAGGCAATTAGGAAAAGACGCTCGAGATGAATAGGATACACTTTACGGAAACCACCAAAGCGAATCACAAGGCAAGCCATAACTTGGAATCCTCAAGACAAAAGGAAAAAAGGCAGACCGAAACCACACGGAGCCAGGACTTGAACACGAACATTAAGACGATGAATGGCACTTGTCAACAACTAGAAGGGAGGACCCAGTACAGAGCTGGTTGGAGATCTCTAGTCAGTGACCTATGCCTGAAGAGCGGTGATAGGCCAAAGTAGGTAAGTATACGGAAACCCAAACCGAAGTACATTGTAGTGGGTTCTCTTAGTAGTTAAAAACATTGGATTTCCAATGTAAAAGTCATAGGTATTAACCCAACTTCATCTACTCTGGTTTATGCGTTTATTTAGTATTCTGAGCTTTCAATGTACCTTCAAACCTGATAAAATAAACCTTACCTTGATAAATGAATCGCAATGTAAAGTAAATAACAAAAATACCAAATTGCAAATTCATGATAAAGCAATCATAGGTACTACCGCTAATCAAACGTCCAGTCAATCATATAACTATTGAATATTATCCAATTATCTCATGAACATGAAACAATTTATCTTGTTGTCATTATCAATCGAACCCTGATATAACATCAATGAATGAATTCTTAACATTAAAATTCTACTATTATTAAACTTATCATTAAATACACTGGGAAAACCTACTTAACTTTCGCACAAACATTAAGAGCACCATGTAGACTGTTAAATATATCTTTAAAAAAACTAAGACGTTCACGTTCAAAATCCTGTGTTCGATTAAATACCTTAAAAAAGAAAGCAAAAGAAATGAAAACTATAAAAGGTAAAGTAGACAAAAGAAATAATTGAATTATAGAATATTAAATCATCATAAGAAAATGAATTCTTGTCCTAATAAGAAAATTAGCATATATATTATCGTTATTAAAATTCTTTAGCTATTATTGTTATGCTTGTTTTTATTGTTCAAAAGAAAACACATTTAAACAATGTTATATGTGCAGTACATAAAATATCGAAACTTGTGACTTTATACAATATCTGATCACTAAGTAATAACGAATGTTGCATTATCTGGTCCTTAGTTCAAATCGAATAGTATCGATCAACTTAATATGTTCCCACTTAGTTTAGTGACTTCACATCATAATGGCTTCATTTAATATCTTTGTGGTTGAAGGCGGTGAGAGTTATCATTCATAAGACGAGACCAATTAGTACAAACATCTCAACCCTACAAATGTTTATCGACAGCTAAAATGGCTTAGAGGTGATGTTTCTGACTATGGTACGGGTAGGAATTTCACGAAGATCAATATATGTTGCTAGTAATTTTTAACTAACATAAAACTTATGTTTATGCTCTCTGTGGTTTTCCTTCAACTATCTAACAACAAATTTGTAACGCAATACACAGAAATATTCTGATTACGATGTGGGTATCTTAAACTAAGTTAACAAAGATAAAAACAAACAACTATGAAGACTTAGTAGTTTTCGTTATACACTTATTGACGTATACAAATTTGAGTCTTTTAATCATTAGTGATTACCGGTTACAGAAAAAAAGAAACTGGAAAATGAACATTCGTTTTAAGTTTAAAATAAGGATTTTTCGCAACATTGTCCGATTTTATTTATTCAGTACGAAAGAGTTTTATATTCATCTCAGTTTACCGGATATGTTCTAGAGGGCTGAAACATTCATAAAGTAAAGATACTGACCTATATATTGAATGCATACATTAATGAAAAGATATCAATATGAACAAGCTGCTAATATATTATTATTTCATAATATAGTAATACTATGTAGTAGCTAAACACTTGTTTAAACTGTAGCCAGATACCTAATAGAGGCGTATAGAAATGGATTTCCTTTAAATTATTGGTGTTCTCTTTAGATTAAGTCGTTTATCATATGAAAATTCATCAACTAAACTTTGAGTCACATTTCAAGTGTAAAGGTTAATGATAGTACTTATTTGCTCAAACAGGAGTATGTGGAGAGGAGTTCGACTCTACGACTTACTGGATGAAAGTCGAACACTATCTACTGAGAGACTGTTTCAATATGGTAGCAAACTATGGCGAAGAATCATGTGGCTCGAAATAGCTTGGAATGATGCAGATGCAGCCATCCTTTATCTCCTCTAAATTCTGGGTTTCTGGATTCTCCAGAATCTTTTGTGTGTTTTTATCTCACTAATTTATATTTTCTGGAAGCGCAAATTCGATGCCTGATCTTTTCTACCACCACCCATACTGTTACTACTTCTACTATGCCGGAGTTTGACCTGACAATTTCACACCTTTGATAATGGAGTATGATAACTTGAACTGATGCACATACGTGCCAGGTTCCACGTTACGACTGATCGACTGTGGCACATAGAATCGGCCAAACTAGGGGATAGTAACTTATCAATGATGTTGGATACGAATTCATCCAGATCTACAATCAACGAAAGTTGAAAATGTAGGCCGTTGGAGTACGATCTAAATGGTTTACAGGTATCACGTTTGTCACAAGATCTTCAGATTCTGGGTTCAACTAAATGTATGTGGTCATAAGTGCAAACTATTTTTCAAACTTTTCCAATTTATTTCATTAATGTTCAGAATGATAAAGTTTCTATGATTTACACAGCTGTTGTTCAAATTCAAGTTGAAGTCGCGACTTTTGTACATTATTATTAGATCAATAATATCAAACATACTTTACGGTGTTCACTATTTTATACCATCTTTTTAAATTAAACTATAAATAGTTCCCGGAAGTTACCCATAACTCAATCCTCTTCGGACACAACAATAGATTAGTGGTCCCAATACGATAAATGGATACAAAAATGAGAAGCAGTTTGGTAAACCATAAAATTTATAATGTTTTGTGTAAACTAGTAAAATCACATTTTTTTAGATTAAACTCCTTCCAGGGAAATGAAATTAAAGCAACAAACCTTTAATAAAATAGCATTATTGATTTATTGTATTTGCTAATAACTTTCTTATTTAGGTCACCCCGAATTCTATAATTAAATTGTTCAATTTACAGGCACTACACATCAGAACCTACTTAAAGGAGGGGACTAAAATAGATCAGGTTTAAAATAGCGTTTCAGGTTACCAGTATTGTAGTATTTCCATTCGTACTATGCATAAAATTCACTTTCGTTCCAAGAACATAAGATAGCATTAACAATAGCATATTTTCTATGTTCTCCAAATAAATGTTACTTTACACAAGTGTCTTTTGATGTCCACTCAATGTACAAGGAATAAAACTCACTGAGATCATCCTTAGAGCCTAACAGTGGTTATTTTTATTTGACTTTGTGGAGAATATTGCTGACTTACAAATTTCCTATCAGTTGAGAAAAACTATGAGAAATCATGTCAGATCTTTAAACAGAATAAATATTTTTACGACTCAAACACTAATTTTTTATAAAGTAATTATGGCTTTATTTCTAAGTTAAGAAAAACGAGATAATTCCATCCAATTGAAATTCTCCATTATCAGTGCAATCTACTGGGTGTATGTACCGATACACCTACCTAGAACCATCATTATTCAGTCGAATCAAACAAAAATAGTGAGTAACTTAGTCGTTATTATCCGATATTGACACCAAATTATTTTAGTTACTAACTCAAGTACTTTATTTTTATACATCTAACTGAATTTTTAGCATATATCACTTCATATCCCATACGAGACCGCTTTAATAGTAGTTTTACAAAAAAATTCTATTCACTGTAGTAAATGTGGAAGCACAATTAATAAATAGAATGACTAGTTTTTTCAAAGTGCTGATCGATTTTCCCTTACCCAGAGATGACTACTTTATAGTGCGTTCGTAATATATATAGGCAACATCCATTTGGGTGATTCATAATTTACAATGCCTGTATGCTTTCGAAAATGATCTAAGATGTCCAAGTTTATAAAATATGACTTTTATGTATGAACCTTTAGACCATTGGTTGCATAGTTGTCATTTGACAACCAATATGATAACGTAAATTGTTAAAAAGTAATAAACACTTAATCATTGTGTAACAAAGAGCCAGTAAAACGACAGAAAAACCAAATGACAATATATGGTAAAATAATAACACTATTTATACAAAACAAACGTCAGAGAAAACATATACCTGACAAAACGGAAAGGTTTGGTTATAGAATGCGAATACAGTGTCATAACAGATATCATAAATTTTATTACGTTTATGTCATATAATACATAGCTGCGGTTTGTTAATTTAAAATCAAAAGCCCTATCAAGTGAATATTAACGATTGAAACTGGTCTACACACAGTCGGATATCGACAACGGATAAAGTCCATAACCTAGTAGGTGATTCTATTCGTCATCCAGTAGATATTAATGTTTGAATTGATGGCACTGACCTACTGAATGATAAATTTATCAACCGGAATCAGATGATCTTACAAACAAACATAGTTGTGATTGTAGAACAATCATAGGATGTTAATAAGCCACAAATTGTCGTCAGGAGAAGGGACATCTCTAATGTGTTCATATTAATTCTACGTTCACAGTCTACTGAATGAAATTATATATATATATATATATATATATATATATATATATATATATATATATATATATATATATATTAATGACAACTTTTATCGCTATCTTCCATAGGCATAATATTTCTTTACTCATAACAAGCAAAAATTTTGGCACAACAGGATACTGAAAGAATGGGTCATACAAAACAGGATGATAATGTTTTGATGAAATAAAACCGGAGCAGGTAATTTTCCTAGACGGTCACACCCCAAGCTTTTGACATCAAAGTGGAGCAATATCAGATGTAACCCCACAGCAACCAGTAACAACTAAAGTAGATCGAGAATCAGTGGTTTTTTAACTAATCTAGGTGTACTCTTCACATCCACCAATCCAGTTTGCTCACTGGGTAAGAGAGAATTCAAAAATAAAGATCTATTTCAAGATGGATATTATCTGTCTAACAACAAAATAAGCGTTTTAAAATACGTAGAAAAATAAATCGAACAAAAAGAAACAATGAAGCACAATTAAAACAACCCATCTACAAGGAATTCAATATTAACAAACATAGAAACCTAAAACACGAATTTCAGCGAAGGGATCTCCTTTCAACGAATTTATAATCAAGTTGTACAATCGTATATATATGAAAATTTATTTTGTTTTTTAAAAGTACTAATTCCGTGAGAAAATTTTCATATATATACGATTGTACAGCTTGATAATAAATTCGTTGAAAAGAGATCCCTTCGCTGAAATTCGTGTTTTAAACATAAAAACAACAATTAAACAATTATTTTATTTGTAGATAATATAGATTCGATTATGAAAACTTAAAAAGAAAACAGAATTGATTTTCTTTTAACTACTTACTTTGGTCATTTCTTCAACATATCGTGAACTTTCAGTATTTAAATCAGCCAATGCCATTTTATATGCATCACGAGTTCGATAAACATCTTTTTCCGCTTTAGCTAATTTTTCTTGTGTTTTCTTAAGCTATAAGAATTTCAAAAGAAATCAGTTAATTTTACAACGGAACTGAATATTGTCAGTAGATTCATGAATTTAGAGCTCTGAATAATCGATATTAAGAATAATTTTCCCAGCTGAATCACAGAAAGTGAACTTTTTTAAACAAATAAATACCGGTTTATGTTAGATTTTTTAATGATAGCAGCATTTTCCGACAGAATTTCAAGAGTGGGAAAAATTTGATAATTCTTTAAGATATTTGGCTTGCAGAATTTATCACATTGATGATAAACAAAAGAAAAATTATAAAGCCTATATTTTAAGTAACACATTTATCAAACTAGAGGCAGTTTTGACACACACCAATTAATAACAAACATCAATGAATGAAAAGATCACTGATTATTTAGGTTTCATATTTCAGCAGTGAACTAATGATAATTAAAAAGTGCACTGAATCAAGCAAATCAAACTACACTTTAGAACACAAATAAGAAACAAAATGGAATAATGATAGCCAACCTTCTGAAACTGTATAATAATTGGTATGGTAAAACAAATAAATCAGTGACTAACACCCCAAACTACACACACTATATCATTTAAAAACGATTCATAGTTGTTTAAAAAAGAATAATAATTCATAGAAATAATAAATTCTCTAAACTAAATATGTAGAATTATGTTAGTTCATTTCATTTCATAATTCGGTAGCAACTTGGCAATAATATCAATGCATTTGAATAAATAAGTAAATTGAGTGCGATTAATTGGAGTTTTCATGATGTATAATAAAATATTTATACATGTTTGTGAAATATAACATGATAGTTGAAATAAATTAAGCTACATATCCAGAGCTCATAACAGTTGTTTGGGAGATAATTCTCAATACTCATTACTAGTTAAGACCTATATTCGGTTTAAATCTGAAAACATGACTTCATCATTAAGAACTCATGAACTTTTATATTTAATTTCCTCATACGTCTTTAAAAAACTGGTGTTGTACTAGTTAATTAACATTTTTATTGGAAACTATGATGTAACCAAAATGTTCTACTTTATGCCTAGCGCTACAACTAACGTCTTTCTACATAGCATGAAAAAAGCTAAAAGAGAATCTAGATATACTATACATTTATATATATTGTAGGGAAACTCAGAAGCGTATATATGTATGGATAGACATGTTAATTTATAAAATAATACAAGTATGATCAGTTCAGAAGTCGATTACATAGTGACAGATGTTACTCGTACCACTACACTATCGTTCGATGAGGCAAAAAAGTCCTTGTTCTCAAACCATTTCCGTAGGATTTTATTAAGTTCCATTCCAGAAAAAGTTCTTGAAAATCGACTTCATAGAGTTGCAACAGTTATTTTGACAGACATTGCTCTATGATTCGTTAGGAACTGCTTGCTGGCTGCTGAGCATTCAACTATCCCTATGCTATATATTTTTTTTGGGTAATTTTAGTGTTAGCTCCGTACTTATTGAGACCTTACCGCCGGAGACGGATATCCGTGGGATAAGGCGAAGTGTCCATTTTTAGGGTCGACCTTTTCTAACCCCACCCCTCTTTGTGGGAAGGCAGCATCGCTGTCATGCTGGTTGTCTGAAGGAAACACCTTACTGCTGTCACACCTCTGTACAGTCAGCAGTACGACTTCGCCTTCGGACCTTGGGTTTGTTGCTTTTAGTCTTACCGCTCTTTAACCGACCTGTCTGACATGGTAGGACCTTGAGGAACGGTTGTTCCAGCCAGTATAGCTCGGTTGCTTCATCGCGATAGGCAAGCCCGACCACCACGTCAAGGTAGCAACAACGGTCTAGTCTGAGCCATGTTGGTAGATGCAGACTACTTGGTTGGGGTCCGCGTGACTATCGTAACCAATGGTTGGAGACTCTTGGTGACATGGCTCAGAATCGATCACAATGGCGTCGGTGTATACACTCCCTGTCTTCCCTTAAACTCAGAGACTAAAATCACTTCATATTTTTCTTTCTACGAACTAATTCTTTCTTCCTAATCTATATCCTTATTGCAACCTTTGACCTAACCACCCCTATGAATCCGCTGTTCATCTTGCTGTGCTAATGAGGTATGGCAACCTGGACCGATGCACATATGTGCCTGGTCCTACGTTGTAGCTGACTGACTGACTGATGCTCTCTCTATATATATATGGAGAGAGAGAGAGAGAATTATTATCGTAAAATATGAAGTACTACTGGACATGAACTGTAGTATAAAAAAATGCACCTCCTGCACAGAAAATCCACACGTAGTTGAATGTTAAGGAAAGATTCTGTGCCTAACTATACACAAATCACAGTACCTTTAAATAAACAACTTTAATTGATACCTAACGATTTGGCTTATCAAAAGCAGACAGAAGAAAACAAAAACAAGATAATACGAATGACTAATCAATGGGATGGAGGATATATATATAATTTGCTCTACAGAAATAGGTTATCATTCATAACATGTTAGGTGTAAATACATTAGTATCTGGAAATAACTATATGTATAAACATAAAATATTGATGAACAAACAAACACCAAAAAATTTGGCAAGTAGTCCGAACGAAGCAAAATGAAAAGACTTGAAAAGTATGCTAATAAGGGAAACAAGTATTTACAGAGCGTGAAACGTTGAAGACCTTTTGTGCATTTGGTCTGTTTACTTGGTAGTCTATAACCAAAAACAATATGTGCCCTATAAACTAATATTTCAGTCAAAGTGAATGTTTTCAGTCTCTATTTTCTAAAAAAGAAACTAAACAACAACCACAACTGAACAAACTAAAAAGCTTCAAAATAATAGATCACCATGACCGAGCTGCTAAACTGTTAAAATGAAAATTGCAGTCAGTCTATGACACGGCTATTTTATTCAGGATTAAATGCCAAATGGGGATCCCAGAAAGCATAAATGTTTTATAACTGCCAGCTAAATAATAAGAGACGGTTCAAGAAGTGTTCAACTCAAATCCCAGACAATTTTACCATGTGCTGAAAATACATAACATGGAAGTAGTAAATGGCGTTCACATACGCATATTTGGGCACCCGGGCAGTATCACAGCCCACACACAAACGATGAACTCTATGTCTTTTGCAACTACTTTCATCGCTCCGAAAAACAAAAACAATCAATCAATTCAAATAATTATCATTACTATTATTGTCATTATTGATACTATTATTATTACTATTATTGTCGTTATTATTATTATTATTATCATTATTATTATTATTTCCCACATTATTCACCCTCTTTCATACTTATACAGCGGCTCGGCTTTGGTGGAAATTCGACTGTATCTAAACGTTCTCGAGTCACTGTCCGGTTGAAAGTTGTATGTTACCATCGAATATGAGTACTGAAGCAGTTTTTCTGAAACCACGTGCGCCATTCAAACTGGCTGCCTTCAACGTTCGCACACTTATGCAGGTTGGTCAACAGATAGGGCTGGCTATGTCTTTGGAAAGTCTTAATATTGATGTTTGTTGTCTATCCGAGACCCGTATTCAAGACTCTAGCGAAGTACTACAAATTCGCTCTACATCTGTCACTTCAAAAAGCTTGTTTTACGTGCGCTTATCCGGGGACCCTGTGGCATCTTCGTCTAGCCTTGCTGGCGTTGGTGTCGCACTAAGCGCTAGAGCTGAGGCAGCACTAGTCGATTGGATCCCCATTAACAGTCGGTTATGTGCTGTTAGATTAGAAAGTTCCATCAAAGTGAGAAGAAATCGGCGTCAGAAACGATGTCTTTTCGTCATCTCCGCCTATGCCCCGACAGATTGCAGCCCGGATGCAATCAAGGATGAGTTTTACCACCAGTTATCAGTTCTTCTCCAGAAAGTGCGTTCGACAGATATTGTAGTACTAGCCGGAGACTTGAATGCTCAGGTCGGGCGTCTAGGCACAGAAGAGAGTCGTTTAGGTGGCCGATGGGGACTCGTTGGTCGCAGGTCAGATAACGGGGACCGTCTACTGCAACTTTGCACAGACCACAACCTGTTTCTGGCTAGCACTAACTTTCGGCACAGTCATCGCCGATGTGCCACCTGGCGTCCTCCCTCTGCATCTCAAGCCTGGACTCAGATTGATCACATCGCGATCAGCTACCGCTGGCGTGGTTGTGTACAAGACTGCCGCTCCTTTTGGAGTACCTATCTGGATTCTGACCATGCCTTGGTCTGCGCCAATCTTGCCTTACTTTTCAGTGGACAACGAAGTGAACGCCATCAACGGATTGATGTTAGCAAGCTGGTTGCAACTTCTGTTGCAAGTAAGTATCGAACCGAGCTAGCCTCTAGGCTAGCTACCACTCCACCGAAAAGTATAGATGAGCATTGGTTGCAATTGCATGACGCCATGAAAATGGCGGGAACAGTCAGTTGTGGGTTTGCGAAACGTCCCGCTTTTAAGCACTGGGTTTCTTCTGGTTCCTTACAACTCATTGAAGCCCGTCGGTCTACTCCGGGTAACCGTGAGTTTGACCATAAACGAAGGATTTTACGTAAGGAAATCGGGCAAAGCTTGCGTAAGGACCGAGAAGCCTGGTGGTCGATGCGTGCTAATGAGCTGGAAGCAGCAGCTGCATCTGGTAACTACCGGAAGCTCTTCCAACTCATCCGAGCCACTGGCAGCAAGAAGTCTGGTGTGAGTGAAACAATCTGCGAGGATGATGGGATGCCAATCACTAACATCCATCGACGTCTTGGACGATGGGCAGAATTTTTCGAAGGGCAGTTCAACTGGCCTGCTGCTCCGGCAACATCGGTCAGACTGTCCTGCCCTCCATGGCCGGTGACGACTGATCCACCAAATGAGGAGGAAGTCCGCAAGGAACTCCAACTCTTGAAGCGTTACAAATCAACTGGCCCAGATGACTTACCTCCGGCTCTTTTTAAAGATGGTGGTGACTTTCTGGTTAAGGATCCTACTACGTTATTTACAAAGGTTTGGGAACTAGAGAGTGTGCCAACGTCATGGAATGAGTC